TCCGGAGTGGTTTTGGAGTAAATTGAGACACTTAGTCTCTTAGGAGAAAGTTTAAGATGGAAAGTTGATCGGATGTTGACTTATGTGTAAACGATCATGGATTTGAATTTTGATGGTTCCGTTAGCTCCATTAGGTGATATTGGACTTGGGAGCTCGTTCGGAATGTGATTTGGAGGCCCGTGGTAGAATTAGGCTTGAATTGGCGAAAGTTGGAATTTTGGTCGGTAGTGAAAATTTTGATATCGGGGTCGGAATGGAATTCCGGAAGTTGGAGTAGGTTTGTGGTGTCATTTCTGACGTGTGTGCAAAATTTGAGGTCATTCGGACGTGATTTGATAGGTTTCGGCGTCATTTGCAGAATTTGGAAGTTTAGAAGTTCTTAGGCTTGAATCCAAGGGTAATTTGGTATTTTGATGTTGTTTTGAGTGATTCGAAGTCTCGACAAAGTTCGTAGTGTGTTTCGGGTGGTTAACGGATCAAGTTTGAAGTTTGGAGAATTGCTCAAGTTGTCCTGTTGCTGGTGTAATCGCACCTGCGAGGGTATTGCCGCATGTGCGACGTAGCAGGTGCGGTGGGATGGACGCAGGTGCGGAAGTGTGTTGAATTGAGGAAGACCACAGGTGCGACTGGTCGTACGTATCTGGGAGCCCGCAGAAGCGGGTAGTTGCCCGCAGAAGCGGAATAGAGGAGGTCTGGTAGTGGCCGCAGGTGCGAGGTCTTTTCCGCACCTGCGAGGTCGCAGAAGCGAATAGAGAGGGCAGGTGCGGAGATGGGGATTTAAGTGATTTTCCACAGATGCGGAGTTTTTTGCGCAAAAGCGGCACCGCAGGTGCGAATAGCCTGGGCAGAACCTATAAATAGAAGACTTCGCGAATTTTTGCTCATTTCCACCATTTTCAAGTCGGACCTTGGAGCTTTTGGGGTGATTTTTGAAGGGGCTTCAAGGGTTTTCACGGAGGTAAGTTGCTTGAGCTCTATTATCATTAGCTATGGTGTTTTCCCGTTGATTTCCCACCTAATTAGTAGGATTTTTGAAGTGAAATAAGGGGTTGGGGCTTGGGATTTTGGAGAGAGTAATTTGGGGATTTGAGGGACCAAATGATGTCGGATTTTGATGAAATTGGTATGGGTAGACTCGTGAGTGAATGGACTTTCTAGTTTTGTGACTTTTGTCGAATTTTGAGACGTGGTCCCGGGGGCCAGGTTTGAGCACATTTCGGGATTTAAGCCAGATTTAGTAGTTTTCTTGTGGAATTAGTTCCTTTGGCATATATTGATTGTGTTGTAATACTTTTGGCTAGATTCGGGATGTTTGGAGGCCGATTCGAAAGGCAAAGGCATCGCGGAGTAGAATTTGGCTCGGATTAAGGTAAGTAACAGTTGTAAATCTGGTCTTGAGGCTATGAAATGTCACGACCCAAATCGGTGGGCCGCGACGGGCACCCGGTACCTTACTCAACCGGGTACCAACATAACGTACCTTTTCATGTCATACTATCTTAAATAATTGAGCCGGAGAGGCTGCCGTGAAATAGGTAGCATACAATAGGTAATGTCAACTTATAGATAAGACATATGGGCCTCTAAGACCAAAATAACCACTTGAACACTGAACATAGGCCGACAAGGCCATACGATCTTTTACATACATGACATCTGTCTCCAAGCCTCTAAGAATACATAATTTTCATAAAGGTCGGGACAGAGTCCCGCCATACCAAACAATACACATCGAACTCATACTGACCAAACAAGCAACTCCGAAGCAAATGGAGCGCACCAACATCTTCCACTGCGCTGATAGCCTACTTGGAGGGCTTTCGACCAGTCTATCGGGACCTGCGGGCATGAAACGCAGCGTCCCCAGACAAAAAGGGACGTCAGTACGAATAATGTACTGAGTATGTAAGGCACATAAATAAGTACATAACAGACATGGAGGAAATATAGAACAAATGACTCCACCTGTAAGTCTGGATAACTTTGTAAATCATGAAATAATTATAGTGTCATGCATATGCGTATGAATGTCATGACGTTCATAGGTACATGTATTCATAACATCATCAAGCCTCTGAGGGCATCCCGTCATATCATTTCGGCCACTATGGGCAAAATCATCATCGTATACCAGCTGATCAGGTGGTGGTGCGTATATAACGCCATAACCTTTCCCATATCCCATATACATATATATACATACATATATATGCGTATATAACGCCATCTGGTCATGGGTCAATGTACATGAATGCAATGCATGAAAAGTACGTTAATAAAACCTTTCAGAATGTCATAAGACCATTTGCCTTTGAGTAATATCATAAAGTAAACTCTTTTCAACTTTCATTTTTTTCTGAGACCCATGAACAGATGATAGAATATTATGACACATGGAAATTCAAGAACATAGATATCTCTAATACTTCTATGATTAGAGTCATTTATGAAATTTGTGCATTTTCTCGTTTCATTTGTGCCGTATAGATCATGCCAAAAAGAAAGAAGGGATGACCTTAACATACCTGGAGTAGGGAAAACTCCGTATAATATTCTTGGCGAATATTGCACTGTACTCTTTTAGAACTGCAAAATTCGGATGGAATTAAGCTTCTGCTTTGTTTTGAAGTATTGAACGAAATGAAGCTAAGAAATGGAAAAATTAGCTTTTGTTGAAAGCTTGAAGATGGTTACTGTTTCCATGGAGGCTAACGTTTCTTGTGATTCCAAAATGACAATATCTTTTTCTTTGTAAAGTTTCTTAAGTTCTGATGGTGAGATGTTATATTAATCATAGTAATGCACCCTTTGTTAGCCACCAATTGCCACCTAGTCATGGATTTAGCAAGAGTCTGTGGCCTTCTGCCACGTTTTAAGGGGTGT